TTTTATTATGCATCTAGATATAATAATATATCTAGATACATAGCAAAATGAATGAACAAAATAAGTCAAAGCAACTTATAATTTGGAATGGAGGGAATATGTATCTAGAAAAGCGGGAATGACTTATAATTTAAAACAGATGGAGTACTTAAATTTTACTTGATAAATCAGTTGATTATGCCAAGAAGAAATGCTTTTTTTTTCTTTTGTCCAATAATTTTCATTAGTTAGCTTTCTAATACCCGAAATCATCTAAAGAAAGAAAAACATGACGGGAGAGAGGGAGAAACTGAGGAACAACCAGATAAATATCCATCACGGTTGCGCACATATATTTACGACTATATCTACTATTTAATTTTAAAAAAGATCAAATACAATTTTTTCTTTCATTTATCAAAAGTGAATTATAGAGTTACTTTAAGAAGCTATATCTACTTTAAGAAGCTTGGTACGACACCTTTGATTATTTGGGATGAAGTTTGCATGAAGTGGCCATGAAGATCTCCGAGGCATGTTTAAGGACTTAGGCATATTGTAAATTATATGGTTAATGCGAGAAATAACTTTATTATGCCTTGTTACGAGTAAATGTTTTCCAGATTGTATATACATGGTCATATACAATTGTGTGAAAGTTGAACTCTGAAAAAAAATCGTTGTTTGATTGTTTCCATGTACATCCCTAAATGAAGCCGTAGCGTTAGCACATACACTATACTAGTTTATACAGTGGTCCACCATTTGATGATTATGCATGGACACATGGCATGAATTCACGGTGGGTGACGACCACGGGTGCATGGTGGGATAGTTCCTATCTAATTTTTCCCAAAATTTATAAACATATTTTGATCGAAAAAAATATCATACAAAATATATTTTTAATATTTCGAACAAAAGTTTTTTTTAGAAAAAGGACGAAAGGTATCTGTAAACTAGTAGATATACACGTGCGACAAGCACATGTCTATAAAAATATCAAGATGGATGAGTACAAAAAATCAAATGTTTAATACTCCCTCCCCAAATTATAAGTCGTTTTGACTTTTTTGGTATTTGCGACGCATCTATATAAATAATATGTCTAGATAAATAGTAAAATGGATAAACCAAAAAAATCAATACGACTTATAATTCGGAACGGAGGGAGTAATTGAATTCCTATATCACATATATTTATATTTATATTTATATTTATATTTATATTTATATTTATATATGATAATAGACATGCATTATAAAATTTTTAAAAATATTTCGTTGATGAATAGCAATTACTCCGAGGACAGAAAAAAATTGCAAATACACGTGACTACGTGAGACGAGGTTGGTCTCCGGTCGAAAGCTCGGAGCCCAGAAGGGCAGAACAGCCACGGCCCAAACAAAGGACCGAGTTGCCCTTAGGTCCACGGGCTGCTCTTCCGAGCGCCAGCTTCACTACAGGTTGCGGTAGCCCGGTAGCCAACACCATTCACCAAACTACGCTTCCCCTTTTCTCAAAAAAAAAAAGAAAAAAAAACTACGCTTCCCCTGAAGACTGAAGTTGCCTGCAAGCTGGGGCTTCTTGTTTTTTTTAATAATGGATAAAGCATCCGGCTTCATCTACCCAAGGGTAGAATCAGGTCAATTATTACAAACAACAGGTCCAAGACCTTTGCCCAACTCAAAAACTTAGAGGGCCACAAAACATCCAAAAGGATAACAAAGTTGACACCGAAGAGATCCTGACAAACGCTAACCAATAAATCTGTTCGATAACCATCCATTGGAACTAAAGAAGTGAAGCGCGGACGTCTCTAAACGTTGCCCCGCAAGAAGAAGCTGAAGACGAAGCTCCTCACGCCGCTGCAGCTTTGCCCATTGCCGCAGCCAGTAAGTTCCCCGGAATAGAACCTGCAAAAAAAATTTTGGTCTACACTTGTCAAAGACTACCTCATTTCTTGTTATCCAAATGGTCCAACATAAAGCTGAAGCTGCAATTAAAAACAATGAATTGTAAAGCTTACTACCCCGTTTTGACCAATTAACAAAAAGATCATCTATACTCAGTGGGGGTGGTAATCCAAACATGAGATGAACAGCGCGCCATAAGAATTTAGCGTATGTACAGTGGAAAAAGAGATGTTGGATTGTTTCTGGACAATGACAAAAAGCACAACTTTTGTCACCATTCCAGTTACGTCTAGCAAGGTTATCCTTAATTAAAATCACACCTCTCTTTAAATACCACAAAAAATTCTAATATTTGATGGGATCTTAACCTGCCAAATATCTTGTGACACCCTTACCCTATTGTTAATTAACACAGCATACATAGATCTCACTGAAAAGGTACCTGATGAATTAAGTGTCCAGCGAAATTTGTCCCTTCCCCCTGTAAGTTTATATCTTGTAGAGAAGTTACAATCCTGTGCCAGTCTCTTAAATTCCTATCCACTAAATTTCGTCGGAAGGAGATATTTAAAGGGACCGTTGCAAGAACTGTTGCCACATAATCCTGTTTTCTTCTCGCTATATTAAACAACACGGGAAACTTATCCTTCAACGGTTTATTACCTAACCAAGTATCAAACCAGAAGCGGATTTGAGACCCATCTAACACCTTGAAAGTGCCGAAACTCATAAAGATATCTTTAACTTTCATCAGACCTTTCCAGAAATATGAATCTGTTGGTTTTTTTTACAGCTCCCAAGTGGTTTATCTTTTAGATACTTATTTCTCAAAAGTTGTTGCCAAAGACCTTCCTCATTTAATAATTTATATAGCCATTTACTCAACAAACATTTATTTTGTAACTCTAAATTATGTATGCCTAAACCCCCTTGGATTTTGGGTTGGCACATTAACTCCCACTTGGCCAACCTATATTTTCGCTTATGTTGATCACTTTGCCAATAAAATCTTGATCTAAAGCAGTCTATTTTTTCTAAAACTCCTTTCGGTATTTCAAAGAAGGATAACATAAACACTGGTAAACTAGAGAGCACCGTGTTTATTAGAACCAACCGCCCCCCTACTAAGAGCATCTTACCCTTCCAACCACTAAGTTTCTTCTCAATTCTTTTCTCTATATCCAGCCAATCCTTATTACTTAGTTTCCTGGTGTGCATGGGTAAACCCAAATACCGGAAAGGATAGTTACCCACCTCACACCCAAACAACTGCGAATAAAATTCTTGGTGTTCTTTTGCTCTATCGAAACAAAAGATTTCACTTTTGTGAAAATTTATTTTGAGTCCAGATAGTTGTTCAAAGGTACTTAAAATTAATTTTAAGTTTAGTGCTTTGTCAACATCATGACCCAAAAAAATCACCGTATCATCCGCATATTGTAAAATCGATAAACCATCTTGAACAAGATGAGGAATAACCCCTTCTATCTGACCAACTTCCTTAGCTCTGGCAATTAGTATAGCAAGCATATCAACTACTATATTAAAAAGTATCGAAGACATCGGATCACCTTGCCTTAAGCCTTTTTTTGTTTGGAAGTAAGGTTCAAGCTGGTCATTTACCTTAATATTTACATTACCTCCTTGTGTGAAATGCTTCACCCAAGAGCACCATTTTTCTGAGAAACCTTTAATCCTTAGCGTCTGCTGTAGAAATTTCCGATCTACCTTATCATATGCCTTTTCAAAATCTATCTTAAAAATAATTCCATCCAATTTTTTTGGTATGCATTTCATGAATCCTTTCGTGGAGAACTACTGCACCTTCCATAATATTTCTCCCTGGTAGAAACGCTGTTTGTGATGGTCTAATTATTTTTTGAGCAATAGTGTTTAATCTGTTGGTCATAACTTTGGTAAAAATCTTAAAAAGATATTCAACAAACAGATTGGTCTGTATTGCAAGCTGGGGCTTCTTGTTGGGGACAGAGGAGGAAGAGATGGCAACCATGGCTTCTGCAGTTCTGCTTGTTGCCCACTTGCCTCTTGTTGGATCGCTAATTTCAGTGTTGCGTTGGTCCAGGTACGCCTTCTCTGTTGCCTGTTGCCTCCAATATTGCTACTGGGCTACTAGTTGGCTGCTTGCCTGCTTGAGCAATTGTGATTGTATGTGCTACTAGATTTTGAAGTCCTTTCTCATAGGCCTCTGATGTGCAGGCGGTAACGAACTTCAGGATAAGTACGACCAACCTGTAGAATCGTACTGTGTATGATACTTCTGTAATGTTATTTGCTAACTGAAATAGTGGGCTGGCTTCTTTGTTTTGGAAAGATTAACAGTTTAGTGTTTCGATTTCAGAATAGACACAAAGCATATATGTCTGCAAGACCCAATGGAGTTAATATCCATTATGTCTGCAACACCATTCACCCAAATTTTTTTCACCCGATTTCGCTTAGGGCCGTACGGTTTCCTATGAATGCACGAGGAAGCAACTCCTCCTCAAGATTAGTACAAATTATTAAATCATTCCCACTAGGAATTATTCCAGGGCCCTATTCCGAATCAACCGAACAAGCCCTTAATCAACTTTTAGTAGTTCTGCTAACTACATGTCAGTTTAGGTCACAAAATAAAAGTAGCAGAACGCTGGTCATTCCGACACGCTACTGCCTACTGCAAAATGGCCACAGGGATTCTGGACCCCGTTCAGCTAAACAGTTACCATCAAGGGCAAAAACGCAATATCATTGACATTGTGCACACAGCCTTCATCTGTATTTCAGACTGTTAAGTCATTGTTCTATCTGCCTAGGTTCATCTAAATCCCTGAAGTGCATTTGATACGCTAAAGATATACAGTATATTTTTATACAACAGATTGATGTATCCAAAATTTCTACTGCGATGGGCTATACCATCATTTTGAGAAAGCAGATTATATCCCACTCCTTGTTTGCTCAGATCAATAAGCATTAGGGACAGGAACCGTTTCCTTATCATGGTCTGATTTGGCTTTTCTCCAGAACCATCACATTACCTCAATTACAACAACACGAACAAAACTGTCTCACACTAGGAGCAGCACCGAAAGATCTCCCCGTCAACTTTCGTCCACTAGAAGTGGCTGAACACCAGGATCTATCAGACAAAGAGAAAGGAGAACATCAGCACAATATACCAACTCACTAAGCTTTTATGACAGTATCCAGAATGATATATATGCAACACTGCTGCCTGTAGTCATTACCTGCATTTCCATTCCGCGTATTAGTTGAGCGATTTCTCCACTTCTGGATGATCTGAGGAATTTCTGTTTTCACATGACTTGACAACGATACAGCAGCAACTAGTGCACAAAGTGCAAGCATTATGAATACTGAATCCCACCCTTTTCTTGAAATGAAGCCCGTTATGAATGGTCCTAATGCAGCACCAAGAGATCCTGTCCCATCTATAATTGCCGTTACCGTGGCCAATGCTCGAGAATCTCCTTTAAGGGATTTGTGAGTTCCCAAATCAGCAGAAACAGCAGTTGTTATGAGAGCATAGGGTCCATTAACAAACAGGCCACTGATCATCATCAAGCCAATGTTTGTCGCTTTTGAGGTACTACCATATGCATGAAAGAGGAAAAGAGATGGAATCGCCAAGTACATGAAAACGGCAGCAGTGGTTGCCCTAGCATTGAGCTGGTCAGATATGAAGCCAGCCAGAACTCCCCCAACTATTCCACCTACATCAAACAAAACTGATAGATATCCAGCAGATGCAGCTGACATATGCTGGCCTCCAATAGCTGGAAAAAAATTACAATGTTAAAAGAAGTGCCATTTTAAATGTCGAATCCAAATATGAAGTTTAAGTAGCTAATAAAGTTCAGATGTCCTGCACAGTATCAGTAATTCCAAAAAAAAAAAAGGATACAACTTACAAGACAATCACACAAGTCATCTAGAGACACTACAATGCAGTATGGATAATAGTATAATACAGATACAGATGCATTTGACTTGAAAATGAAAGTTGTATTCAGATAAACAGAACAACAGATAAATGTGTAAGTCATGGTATATTCAAATCAAAATGCAAGTCGCGTTATTGTTAGTCCATTCCTAACTTCTGTAAAAGAAACGATCAGCTCTGAACCTCTAACGAAACTTATACAGACGCACAAAGGATATGCTGGGCAAGGATAAACTGGTTAACTACCAGAACATAAATTCCTACCACATTTTGCCTTTTTATGCGCTATATATCTCTTGCACGCCTGATATACTGCAAAGCATAATACTACTGCCGCAGCATAACTACTACAACATGTGCTACTCTACAACGTAAGTTTATGTGTCCACCCCAATCAGAATTCAATGATAAGCAAATATGATAACTTTCATAAAGAACCATACCAACCTAACCAAATGCAGAGCAGGAAGCTAACAATTCATACCAATCTAATCTAATATGGTAACCGCTGTGGCCAATTCTAATAGATACGGAACAAACTCATTCAAATAAAAAACAGGGGCTTACCAGTCTGGCTCAAGTAGAATGGGAGCCAGTACAGAAACGTGTAGGCAACTAGTTTGGCGAAGAACAGACAGAGCGCGAAGATGACCACACCGGGAATGGCTAGTGCCTTAAAATTCCCACGGCATCCCGTCTGTCCTTCCCAGCGCCACCTGCGGCACTGATGTCCTCCCCATCGGTGCTCTCATCAGTGACCGGTTCAATCGGCGACGGGCCGAAGCCGACGTACTGGGGGTATGGCGCGAGGAAGAAAAGCACAAGAACGCCACCGAGCGCAATGAGCCCACCGGGGACCACGAACGACCATCCCCACCCGTACCCAAGCATGGCGGCGGCGACAAGCGATCCGGTGATGTTCCCGACGGAGGTGTGCGCGTTCCATACGCCCATGATGAGGCCGCGCCTCCGGCCGCAGAACCAGTTGCCCACGATGGCGACGACGGAGGGCCAGCCCGTGGACTGGAGCAGGCCGGCGATCACCTGGGCGACGACGTAGAACGCGAGGGAATGCAGGCCGAGGAAGTACCCGGCGCCGAAGAGCGCCACGGCGGCGCCGCTGGTGACCATGCCGAAGGCAAGGAAGCGGCGGAGGTCGAGGCAGTCGCCGAGGTGGCCGGCGACGAACATGCCGAGGGAATAGGAGGTGAGGAAGGCGACGTCGGTGGCGCCGAGGAGCGCCGGGTCGGCGAAGGGCGGCCAGGACCGGGCGAGCTCGCGCTTGACGATGCTGGGCGGCTTGCGGGAGGCGTGGTAGAGCGCGTAGGCCAGGAAGGTGAGCCCCAGGACGAGGGCGCGGTGGGTGTTGTAGGAGAGCGCGGGCAGGGATCGGAGGCCGCGCGGCCCACGCCCACCGGCGAGGCGCGGCAGCGGCTCAGGCGACGGAACCGCCGGTGCCGGCGGCTTCGTCATCGCGGTGCGGTTGGAGTGGAGGTCGCGGGGGCGGAGGGGCAATGGCCGGTGGGGCCGTGGGGAAGGCCGGAAGGAAGGGGAAGAGAGAGGACGTGGCGGGGAGACGGGTCGAGGCGCTGGACACGCGTCCGAGTTGGTTATGGGCTCGACTCCGCTGTCTGCTGATTTCATCAGGAAACGAATTTTTATGCCAGTTTTTTTGTTTGTTTGTTTTGAACGCTATGCCAGTTTTCTTTGAAGCATACAGTATTTTATTTCTTTGATTTTTTTCTTCGGATGACGTTGGGCTTGGCTCCTGTTTACCTTCCATTTCCTGAACCTTCAGTTTGCTTTGTCTTGGCATGTCCCTATGTTGATGCGGGTGCCTTGCTTGCTTGTTCCTGCTCAAGGTTATATATAAGCCTCGTTGATTTGTACTTTATATATTCGTGTATTTGTGGTTCACTTTTTTTTAAGATAAAGGATGAAAATTCTGTTGGATATAATATGGGCTTGGCCCATATAATATTTAATAAATTAAATAAAACTCTACGGTACGTAACATTAAGTGTTGTATGGCTTAATACCATTTCAGATTTTGACTGAACGCTGACTCAGCTTATATGGTTGAAAATTATTTATCTAAATTGAGAAGCCGAGAAAAGGTTAAAGGCGTGCCACACGCGCGCGCGCGCCGCCGCCGCCGGCCGGGCCGAGGCCGTGGGCGTGGCTAGGCGAGGCGAGGCGGGCGGCGAGCGGGCGTGGCCAGTCTTTTGCCACTTAATCCCGCCGAGCGGACGGACGTGTCCAGTCTTTTGCCACTTAATTCATATAATCACGGGAGTTACTCCCTTTGATGGTGGAGACGAACTGATTGCGTCAGTTACGGTCCCTTCCGCTTCCGCTTGATTGCGTCAGTTACCGTCCCTTCCGCTTCCGTCTCCTGGAATTCTCCGCTGCCTCTCTCCCTTCCCCGCAGCAGCTATATATTTCCTGTCTTCCGTCAATTCAGACCTAGACTTCCGCAACCACTTCCGAGAGAACCACAGATCAGCAGCCTTCTGACTTCCCCGTCCCGTACCTCTGCGCGCATGGAGGGCGGGAGAGCAGGTGCCTCCAGAACCCTCGGTCGCCTGAGAATCCTGCACGGGGTGAGCGGCGATTAGGTTTTTAGGGAGCGATCCACGACTGCTCGTCCATCTTCTTCCTGCTGGAGATCGCTCTTGGATCCGTCTTCTCCCTGGAACGTCAAGGCGTCTTCATCCTGGTGATCCGTTCATTGGGGACCTGCTGCAAACATCTTTTCGCATCCTTTGGTCCGCAATTTCAAGCAACGCACTATGTCGACTAGTGTGAATGGAGCCTCCGATGTCCTCGACATGGGACCCGGCGTGAGTGCTGATCTAATCTCTGTGATTATTGTATTTTATATTTTCTTGTATCAATCGGTATGTCATCTATGTATCTTTGTAGCGTTCATAAAAAATATACATGCACATATATATTGTCACAAATCTGCGATGTTATATTTACGGATTAAACTGATAATGAAAATGTCTAAATATCTAACAATCCAAAAACCTAATAATAGGCAATTTTCTGTCAGTGGATTTGCTACCGCTTTGAAGCCAAATAATTTTGATGGCAAGAATTTCATGATATGGCGTGCAAAGATGGTATTGTGGTTGACTGCGATGAACTGCTATCCACGGCCTTACGGGGAAGCTGAGCAGTTTACTTCGAGGAGGAGGCGAAAGTTCTTGGGCTGCTGATAACTGTTTTCGAGGTGCTACGATTAGTGCACTTCATCCCAAGTATGAGAAAAACTACATATCTGGTATATCAGGCAAAGAATTATGGGATGCTCTTAAGGCAAAGTTTGGGGTTTCTGACGCTGGCAGTGAGCTGTACCTTATGGAGCAGCTGTATGACTACAAAATAGTTGAAAACCGTTCTGTGGTCGAACAGGCTCATGAGTTACAGGCGCTAGCGAAGGAACTAGAACATTTTTCATGTCTGTTGCCCGACAAGTTTGTGGCCGGTGGTATAATCGCTAAGCTGTCACCTTCTTGGAAGGATTTTGCTACTTCTCTAAAACACAAGAGACAAGTGTTTAGCGTGGCTGAGCTTATTAGATCTTTTGATATTGAGGAGAGGGCGAGAGCAAAAGACAACCGTGGAAAAGGAGTTGAGTCTTTCCGCTGTCAATATGGTGCAGAAGAAAAACTCATTTGCATCTCGTAATAAAAAGAAGAGGAACATGCAAGAGAACAACAATGCAAAGCCTAAGCAGAATGCACAGTTTAAGAAGAAAAACAACAAGAAAGGTGGAGGATGCTTTGTTTGCGGGAGTGATGAGCATTGGGCAAGTGCGTGCCCAGACCGCAAATATAAGCAAGAAAAGAAATCAGCAAATGTGGTAATTAGCGAGACTGGAGGAGGAACATCTGGGTGTGGTAATTCTTTACCCTTTGTTCTTTCAGTTTGTCTTTCACCTCAGTGGTGGATGGACAGTCGTGCTAATATTCATGTGTGTGCTGATGTTTCTTTGTTTATTTCCTATCAGGCCGGCAGAACTGGAGCCTTACTGATGGGAAACGGTTCGCATGCGCGTGTTCTTGGTGCTGGTACGGTCGTTCTGAAGTTTACTTCAGGAAAGACGGTGCTATTAAAGAACGTGCAGCATGTCCCCTCCATCAAGAAGAATCTTGTTAGCGCTTCTCAGATGTGTCACGATGGCTTTAAAATTGTGCTTGAGTCCAATAAATGTGTTATGTCGAGACATGAAACATTTATTGAAAAAGGTTATGATTGCGGAGGCTTGTTCCACTTATCTTTGTTTGATGATGTGTGTAATAAAGTGGTGCACAATGTTATTGTTTCGGATGAGTCGAATATATGGTATTCACGACTTTGTCACATTAATTTTGGCTGTCTCACGCGGCTTGCAAATCTGAATTTAATCCCGAAATTTAACTTAGTCAAAGATTCTAAGTGCCAGGTGTGTGTGCAATCGAAGCAACCGCGCAAGCCTCAAAGGCTGCTGAGACGAGGAACTTGGCACCATTAGAACTCGTTCATTCTGATTTATGTGAAATGAATGGCGAATTGACTAAAGGCGGTAGACGATACTTCAGACATTTATAGATGATTGCACTAGATTTTGCTACGTGTATTTGCTTAAAATAAAAGATGAAGCGTTGCATTATTTTAAGGCCTATAAAGCTGAGGTAGAAAATCAACTTGAGAATAAAATCAAGCGTTTGTGGTCCGATCGCGGGGGAGAATATTTCTCAAATGAATTTTCTGAGTTTTGCGTGGTGCATGGAATTATTCATGAGAGGACGCCACCATACTCACCACAGTACAATGGGATTGCAGAGAGAAAGAACCGCACTCTAACTGATTTGGTTAATGTCATGTTGGAGACTGCGGGACTATCTAAGGAATGGTGGGGTGAGGCTATTTTGATAGCATGTCATGTCCTAAATAGAGTGCCCACAAAGAACAAAGAAATTACACCATTCGAGGAATGAGAGAAGAAGAGATTAAATCTCTCTTATCTACGAACTTGGGGTTGTTTGGCAAAGGTGAATGTGCCAATAAACAAAAAGCGAAAGCTTGGACCAAAGACTGTTGATGGTGTCTTTCTTGGTTATGCTATTCACAGCGTGGGTTATAAATTTTTAATTATAAACTCTAGTGTTCCTGAGATGGCTGTTGATACAATCATGGAATCTAGAGACGCTACATTTTTTGAGAATGAGTTTCCTATGAAAAATGCACCTAGCACAACTGGTCATGAATTTATAATTCTCCATAAACATGAAAACTTTATTCCAATTGAACAAATTGAGGAACCCTATGTGCAAAATCCTGAGGAGGATGACACTATAGTCACCAGAAAAAGTAAGAGACAGAGGACTGCAAAGTCTTTTGGTGATGACTATATTGTGTACCTTGTGGATGACACACCAACGACCATTGAAGTGGCATATTTCTCTTCTGATGCTGACTTATGGAAGAAAACAGTACGGAGTGAGATGGATTATGTTATGTCTAATGGAACTTGGGAAATTGTTAATCGTCCCTATAGGTGCAAGCTTATAGGGTGCAAATGGGTGTTCAAGAAAAAGCTTAGGCCTGATGGTACTATTGAGAGGTATAAGGCAAGGGTTGTGGCCAAGGGTTATACTCAAAAGGAAGGTGAGGATTTCTTTAATACTTATTCACCGGTTGCCCGATTGACCACAATTCGAGTTTTGCTTTCCCTGGCAGCCTCTTATGGTCTTATCGTTCATCAAATGGACGTTAAGACAGCTTTCCTAAATGGATAGTTGGAGGAGAAGATCTATATGGATCAGCCTGATGGGTTTGTAGCAAATGGTCAAGAAGGCAAAGTGTGTAAATTAGTAAAGTCATTATACGGCCTAAAACAAGCTCCTAAGCAATGGCATGAGAAGTTCGACAGAACTTTAACATCTGCTGCCTTTGTTGTGAATGAAGCCAACAAATATGTGTACTATCGTTATGGTGGGGGTGAAGGAGTCATTTTGTGCTTATATGTTGATGACATACTGATATTTGGATCCAGCCTCAAAGTGACTGAGGAGGTGAAGGAATTTCTATCTAAAAATTTTGAGATGAAAGATTTGGGAGAGGCTGATGTTATTCTTAATATCAAGCTTCAAAGAGAAGATGATGGTGGGGTAACTTTGTTACAAACCCACTATGTGGAAAAGGTGTTGAGTCGCTTTGGGTTCAGTGACTGTGCACCTGCTCCTACACCTTATGACCCTAGTATGCTATTGAGGAAAAATCGGAGAATAGCAAGGGATCAGTTGAGATATTTCTAGATCATTGGTTCGCTCATGTATCTTGCTAGTGCAACAAGGCCTGACATCTCATTTACTGTGTGCAAGCTGAGCCGGTTTGTGTCAAACCCGAGAGATGATCACTGACGTGCTCTTGAGAGAGTAATGCGCTACCTGAAAGGGACCATGAGCTATGGTATTTGTTAT